CTGGCACTTGGGGGCAAAGCAGCCATAAACAAAATATAAACACAGTTGTGTTCCAATAAAACTATTCAAAAAACAGGCAGTTCAGATTTGGCCTGGCCTCCCCTAGTCTGCTGACCCCTGGTCTAGATGAAATATTGAAAAAACTAAAAATTAACACATAATTTGAGACGATACCCCTTCCATATATAGGCTGAAAGCCCAATTACAAACTGTCACACCAATTCCCACAGAGCATTATTCATAGAATGTGGTGCTATTTACACACCATGCTGAAGGCCTCTGAGCCCTCCCTTCACTCCAATTCCCCGGGTCCCATAAATATTCAACTACTACTACTATTCTCATTTCAACATATGGCCTACAGTTTTCTATCTTTGCTAATGAAAATAAACAAGCTGAAGAGCATTTAAAATTCAGATCCCATGGCTCCAACTTAGACCCACTGGATCAGAGTATTTGGTGGATTTGATCTCAGGCATTTTTCTTTTTCAAGTTCCATAGATATGCTGCAAGGGTTGAAAACTACTAGATTTAGCCAAAAATTGATTCATTTTGTGGCATGAGACTGTATTGAGGCCACAAAATCAATCAATTTGTAGGCTGAAGACCTAAGAACCCTGAATGTTTTTTAAAAGCTGAGTGTTTGTATACTAACACTGTCATAACAAAGGAACCACACCCTTAGCGTCTTGGCTACATTTCCTTAATACTTTTGGCCCATTTATTAATCCCAGGAAGCGAAATGAACACCTCTGACAGAGGAACATAACTGGGTCAAATTACTGCCTTACTATACATTTATTTTCAGGTTTATTATGCACATGTGTTCAAATATCCAGGGATATTCCCACCTATTCAAATAGAAATAAAAATTCTTCAATATCAATTCATGTGTGTATTTTGAAACAATCTGAAGGTCTATACTTTTCTTCACTAAAAATCAAACATTAGTATTTAGCACACCAGAAAAAGAAACGCCTAACAAATTAGCACCCAATCTAAGTATGTCCCAATTTTCCTAAACAATTTTCTAACTACTACAGCTAGAAGGACATTTAGATATTTTATGACACTATAATTTTCCCAAGAAAACAAAGTTTACTCTAGAAACTGCATTAAAAAAATTCTAATTAAAATCTCCACTTTATTCCACCCCAAACTGAATCCAGAAACGCTGGTACATCACAGCACTTAAACGTTTAAACTAATCTACATTTAGTGAAGCAAGCTAACATGAAAACAATCACAAGACAATTATAAAAGATGACCTTATAAATTCTTACTGTTAACAGAATAATTTCCTGTAATGCGTCCAAAAACTATAAAACTGTAATAAGAAAATTTCAACCTAGTAAATACTATCCAGAAAATGGTTCAAATACACTGTATACTACAGTAAAGATAAATCTAAATTTAATAAAGGCACAGCATAAACACATACACATCATTACGGTAGTCAAAAATACATTATACTGCAGGAGTGAAAAATAATATGTTTAACTATAATTACCAGAACTATTATCAAAGAGCTTGACTTTCTTTAAGGAGAAATAAAGTACAGGGGAAAAAAAGATAATTTCTAATTGATAAAGTGCTGACATATACTTGAAACTTTTAAAAATATATTCACATATATGTCATAAAATTATGATCAAGTTGAAGGCTAACAAAGAAAGCCTGACCAGACATGATTTATGTGTTTTCCCACATCGTTTTTGCATTCAAAAAATTATTATTCAAAGACACAAAATATGGAAATACATATTTATTTTATACTACAAAGCCCATACTATTAGTGATACTGAAATATTTCTAATAGGAAAATTAGAAAGAAATGAGGAATGACATCTTATAACAAACCAAGTAAATCTACTCTTATTACGTGGCAGGGCAAGCTGAACACTTACCATATGATTCCTCCCTTTCAATTAAACAGTGAAAAAAGAGAAAGCACATAAGAGGGCCTAATTTCAAGGTTTTTAAGAGCAAAAATAAACATTAAACTTGTTTGATAATTATGTCCAAGAATTTTCAAAAAATAAAAAATAACTGATACAACCATTGCCTCAGTATTTTTTCATTAACACAAAATAGTCAAGACCTATAAAGAGCTTTTCTTAATATTTCTTTAGTACTTGATCAGTGTATATTAAAACAAGCATCATGAATCTAGGAACCAAATAAAATTGACAACAAAATGATGAAAAACTTGTGTCTATTCATAATTTCTAATCTCAAGAAGATATAAAAATAGAACAAAGACTACATATCCCCTAAATATTTAATCTTATTGTTATCTCCTATTTTAAATATAGTTTCTCTTCAAAAAATTAAGAACACAGTAACTCTGTGGCCTAACTCTGAGTATTAATTTTTAAAAAATAATAAATCAACACTCCAGTCCAGGGTTCAGCAAATTTTTTCTGTAAAGGGTCAAAGAATAAGTATTTTAAGTTTTGGAAGTCACAAATACTCTCTGTATACTATTCTTTTTTTCCATCCATCAGTCCTTTAAAAATGTAAACATTCTTAGCTCTGCAGTAGGATGGTATGAAACTGGGCGGCAGTCTTAAACTACGGTACTTGGCAGACCTCTGCTCCAGCCAGATTAATCTTATGATGCTTCAAATATGCAACACATACTTTAACTATTTGAAAACAAAGTATCTTAATATTAAAATATATAATCATGTAAATTTTCTAACAGTATAATCTTGTGGAATAAATTATCTATTTTTGAAATGCCAATAAATCCACCATGAGTATTTATTAAATATCTAATTTGTTTATTCTCAAAGTCCACTAAATATCTGCAAACTTTTACACACCATTAATTTTAAATATATAAATGTTTTTAGATACAAAAACATACAAACTTGCAGTATTTCAATTTTAAATTGTAGCAACATTTCCAAGGTTTTTTAAAAAAAAGTAAAATTAAAACAATCTGTCCTTCATTAATTATAGTCTTATTAAATGCCACTGAGCATATAAAAAAAACTTGTATTTTTAAAAATTGTGAAATGATTTTCAAAGAATAAAGACTCTGCAATCAAATTTGTGACATAGTCAACTTAATCAACTTTAACAGAATACATTTTACTTAATTTCATTCTCGTCCCCTAAATGATTTGTAGTTAGTATTATTACAAATAGCTACACATTTGCTCCAAGAATGCAAATTTTATATCAGAAAAATATTAAGAAAGCTAATTCCACCAACTTTACTATAAGCAAGTACTTTAGTAAAACAAGTGTTCTGGTACATACAAGCGCTAGGAAGAATTTCCTAATCCACAATGGAACGAAATACAAGTTTCCCTAAGAAATATCACATGGTCTACATCTTGATTATATTTGAAGAGAAAAACACTAATAACTAGTTTTCAAAATATAGCCCTGAAAAATTTTTTTAATTCATTTCTTTTATATCATAAAATATCCTCACATTAATAAATCCAACAGATTTATGTTCAAATGTAACAACCAAAAAACCTAAAACCACAGTTTAAAAATTGTCATTTAAACAAGTGCCATGCAACCAAGGAGGAAAACAGAAATTGCAAAATTAGCTAGAAATTACTCAAAAAAATTTTATAACCTATTCAACTAATTTGGTAATAGAATTTAAAAATCAATTAAGTTAAACCTTTCTTATGACTTATAAATAACTTTTCTAATTGAATTTAAGTGGCACATAATTTTCATTCAAAAGATATTTACTTTATGGGAAGATAAGAAAAATTTCTTGTTGTTATACAAGTTAGCACTTATTTTGCTGTGTGTGTGCATTCTTCCTAATATAAGTTTAAAACTTTTCTAGGGATAGAAGAATGGGAAGAGAAGGTCAGAAGAAAAGCACCAATGACCTGAATACTTTTAGACTCGGAAAGTTATTAAAGAATCATGGCTTTTGAAGTATATAAATGTCTAGACACTATGTTATTCTGTACAGTTGAAACTAATGAAAAAAAGAATCATGGTTTTTGAACAGCTAGAGAAAAAAATACTAGTAAATATTTTTCAAAATAATGAGTTAAGCTGGCATTCATCCAAAGTGAACAATGAGACTTTCTTAGTTATCTTAAGAACTGGTGGATTTTAACATATTAGAAGTATCTTTGTTTGCCCTACCATTTTATCTCACCAAAACAAAAACCTGAGTCAGATCAAGGCTTTAGAACTAAACTCCAGCTTACCAGAAATTTAGGAATAAAGAAACTAGTTAAACATCACCACAAGAATACAATCAACAAAATTCACAGTGTGAGATACTCTATACAAAGAGACTATTTCTTAAAAAAATAAGAAAAAAATAAAAAAGGAGAGAAAACCTATGGACTAAAAGGACTGGATTTATTAGCCAATTAAAAGTAACCAATTGTAAAAATAAATAAACAAACATTTATAAGACCTGGGCAAATTGGGGCTTTTACTAGTTAATATAAAGAATTGACAATTTTTAAGATATGAAAAAGTCCTTATCTTCTAGAGATACATATTAAAATACTTATGAATAAAATCATATTAAGTCAGGGGTTTCACACAACATAATTCGGGTAAGTAGGTACACTTAAAGATGAACATCATCAGCTGTGTGCTGGTAACTGTTGAAGCTGTGTGATGAACATACTAGTCTACTTTTCTATGTCTAAGATCTTCAAAATAAAGGCTGTTAATATCAGTAAACGGTGAAAATCAGTCAAGTGGAGATAATGGATTTAGCAAAAGTTCTAATTTAGTAACAAATATTTGAAAAAGTAAAACGTAAGAAAAAGTTTAACATCCATTTCATAAAAGATGAGTATTACCTTCAGAAACTAATTTTAATTTACTACCTGAAAGGATTTTAAAAATCATTAGCTGAACATAAACAAAAATGACAAATTCAGAAAGATTTGAAAATATACTACTATATATAAAACAGTATCTAAAGAATTCTAAAAACACATTGTCCACCTGACAACAAAATAATTTTAGTTAACTAGTATTTTACTTACATTTTCTATATAATTTGGCTTAAAGCCCTCTTGCTGTCGCCTCAGTTCCTCCTGCTCTCTGTGTCGGATCATTTCTTCCTCACGTCGACGATGTTCTTCTTCATGTCTAAAGAATTTTTAAATAAAAATTTCAGCATCACTGATATGAAAGCCATAATTGGGTATTTTATTTCAGGTTAAACAAAACCATTTATACAAGTTACATTATGTCAAATTTCTCAATAATGACTGCCTTAGCAGATTTACCTTCCTCCTTTTATTTTGCTCTAAACCTTTAATCAATCAAATAAACCAAAGAAAGAAAGTAACTAGGTTAAATCAAAAAAAGTAACAACAGGTCTTTTGAGCTTTTGCTTGCCTGCTCCAAACTCTTTGGAGTGCACTTTCTCTTCTAATAATGGCCCTTGAGCCATTCTCTACTGAGGCCCCTTTCTCCACTCGGCCCACTTCTGCTTCTTTGAAATGTATTGTTTCTTCTAATAAAAGTCCTTTTCTGCAACTTAAAAAAAAAAAAAAGTAACAACATATAACCAGGATAGTTATATGCCTACAATAAAAAAATTGACAGTCCAAAAGCTCAAACATGTAGTTTATTACTTTATAAAGAGAAAATCCTGGAATCTATCATTGGCATATAGCAGAGTTCTTGACACTTAGAACCGACCTGTATGTAAGCCATTGTAAAGGACCACACTGCTCAGACAAAAATTCTATTATGTGTAGAAGAAAGTCCTAACAAATCCTCTCACCCCCATTTCATCAACCCACTGAGGAAATTCCCTGGTTCAGGTTCAGCCTACCACCTGATTTTGTCAATTAAGTTTTATAGGACAATCATTCACTTCCTTCGGGCTAGAGCAGTGCTGAATAGTTTTGACAGTGACCATTATGACCTGCTAAGCCTACAATATTTACTGCCTAACTCTTTTCCAGAAAAAATTTGTCAGCTTCTGTCCTAAAGGTATATATTCAAACATTAAGAAAAAGAAAATCATGGGCCGGCAGAGTGGCGCACTGGTTAGAGGAGTTGGCTTGGGAAGCCAGCTCTGAGCAGCAGGGCACGGGTTTGGATCCCACTTGAGGGCCAGTGACACTGCGCCCTCTACAGCTAAGATGGTGAACAGCCTGACCTGGAGCTGGGCTGCCATGAGTGGCTGGTGACAGCATAGGCTGCGGTAGGGCTGGCCGACAGCGAGCGTGAGCTGCCCGTAAGCAGCCGTCCAATGGCCGGCAAGCAACTGCCTGACCTGGGAAGAGCGCAATGATCATAATATCAACATGGGCCAGTGAAGCGACATCCTCCACAACTAGACTAAAGAACAAAAGGACAGCAACCTGTATGGTCCCCTTCCCCAATTCCCCAATGCTCTTCCCCTCCCCCAATTTAGGGGAAAAAAAGGAAAAAAAATCAACTTTGCTAAGAATTGTCACCCCAATAAACTTTAATTAAAAAAAAAAAATCAGGGGCTGATCGAGTGGCTCAGTTGGTAAAGAGCTCACTCAAGAGTGCGAGCTCTGAGCAACAACGATTCGACTCCCAGCCCGAGCTGAACAGCCACTGAATTGCCAACAGGTGGCAAGATGGCTCAACTAAAAAAACAAACAAAAAAATCAGAGGCGGCCGGTTAGCTTAGGTGGTTACAGCACAGTGCTCATAACACCAAGGTTGCCGGTTCGATCCCCACACATGGGCCACGGAGCTGTGCCCTCCACAACTAGATTGAAGGCAACTACTTGACCAGGAGCTGATGGGTCCTGAAAAAACACACTGTTCCCCAATAAAATCCTTTAAAAAAATAAAAAGAAAATCAAATTATATGTATGTGCAAAATTACTATTAAATCAGTAAGTAGTTATGTGATTAAGAGGGGGAAAACTACAAAACAATTTTGAATAGACTCATGTTATATTGGCATTTAAATAAAACTCAAATATTAATGCCTTCCACAAAAAAAAAAAAAAAAAGTAACTGAAATAGTGAAGACTATATAATGCTGATGTCCCCTCAGTAGGTCTCATTTTCCTGGTTATTCTCATAAAGCATCCTTCTACACTAACTGTAATACTCGAAATTCAAGATATTTTGCTGTTGTTCATTGCACAACATTCCTCCCAAATACAAGTCCATGAACTGAAAGAAATGGTGATATCTCCCAAAGCCAGAAGAAAAAACTCAACTGTTAGGAATTCATGTCAGATCACTGAAAGTAACAAGACAATGTTCCTAGGGGATTTCAAGGAAAATCTGGACAATTTTGAGAATTTCTGTCTACATTCCCAATATGCATATCTACTCAAATTAAATAGTTAAGCAAATTGGTCGATTGATTTCTTAGACATTAACACACTCATAAATTTTACTGTCCAAAAATACTTTCATATTCATACAATGCTGAAAATGTACATAAGTAGAGGTAAAAATTCCCTTATTCAGAAACTCTTAAGGCCGCATGTTTTGAAATTGAGCTTTTCAGATTTTAAAAAGGGTCAATATACTATTATTACATCCCCAATGGGATCTGAGACAGGACCCAATAATCAATCGCATTAATATTTCTGCAGTAAGATGAACATTCACATTCTGTGGAAATAATAACTGACATGACGACCACATAAATGCAGGTCAGGTTCTGTCATTAAACAGGCTCAAATGATACATGAAAAAGCTTTCGTTTTCAAGCATTTTGGTCTGTGAAATTGCAACAATTACCTTGTTGAGGGCCAATTTGTAGTGCATAACATAATTTTAAATGTTCAAGTCCATTTCCAGTAAACGAAATAGAGATAAACTACACAAATGTGCAAGAATGTACAATCAGATATACACTGAGACAAAAGGTAAAAGGTTAAAGAAGGACTCAATTATACATGGGGGACAATTATGGTTCCCGGATGCCAAGGAACACAATACAACTGCTACAAAGAACAGACATGAAAGAATGTCTAAGTTACAGTTGTCAGAAAAAAGGCAAGCACAAGAATGGTACTATTACTGCTTTTAAAAATCATTTCTATGAGCACAGAAGAGGGTATGAAAAAGTTTGTATCACACTGGCAATAATCTGCAGAACAGCTTTGCCCTTTTTAAAAAATTTTATACACATATATATTATGTGTATTGTGTAACATGTACCGTTATAACATTTTTAAGTCAAATAAAGTATTTTAAACAAAATGTACATTGTACTCCCATTGTTAAAGCAATTTTTTTTCTGATAAAATGTGAGGATAGATTTACAAATCAAAAGGAAAAAAATGCAGTAAAAGGGTAAAATCGCTTCATTTTCTATTTTCTCCTTCCTTTCTTTTGCCCATAAATTCCAAATTTTCTTCTTCATTTTGAACTAAGTCGTGGTTATACCACAATGACCATTTCACAATCTAAATTTAAAGACAGTATAGGGGAACATTCCGTTGTACATGCTTGCTTTTCAGTTTTTCTATTCCACAAGATGCTTTAATGATCATTTCACATTTATGTTTACTATCTCTTGAGGTCAAGGGTAACTTCCTAGGTTATATTCACAAATAGGACTAGAAAGTAAAGAAGTGTGACACATTTTAACATCCTTCATGCTACACTTAATTGGAAACCGATAAAAACCTCAATTTCACAATGCATTTTAACTTGAAGCCCACTAGCTGCTTTCAGGCCCCATATATTTTGTAGGACTTTTAAAATCCAAAAGGCTCTAAGCGCTAAGCTCCCACCTCACTCATGAGAAGAATTGTGTTGCTCTTTGTTCCTGTTCAGCACTCTGCCCTCCACATCCTTCTCAGGGCTCAGCCCACCACAGACTCTTTATGTCAAATGACATAAAAGGGGCAAAGATGGGTGGATGGATAGGTGAGTGAGTAGGAGGATGGTCAGAGAAGGAATGAAGGAATAAATGAACAAACAACAAAATGCACAACTAAGGGGTCTGTCTAGTCCAAGGGTTGGCAAACTTTTGAGACGGAAGAGCCGCCACGGGTCTTATTCAAATTTCAACAGTTTCCCCACTAACGTCCTTCTGTTCCAGGATCCTATCCAGAATCCCACAGGGCATTTAATTATTATTTCTTCTTAGTTTCCTCCAGTCTGTTAACAGCTGTTTTTCTTGGTGTTTCATGAACTCAGCACTTTGAGAGAGAATTGATTATTTTGTAGAATGTCCTTCAATTTTGGTTTGTCTTGAAGTTTTCTCACAACTAGCATGAAGTTATAAATGTTTGACAAGAAAACCATAGAAATGACATTGTATCATTCTGAAGTGCATCATATCAAGGGACTCGCCCTGTCAACGTCTTATTACAGGTGACATAAACCTTAACGCTTAGTAATGGGGTCTGCTGTCTATCTCCACATTAATTTATTTTTCCATTTGTGCCTAATACAGATTGGAGACTATGCAAATCCTGTTTCTCAAATTTTGGTGCAACAACTTTAGCACCCATCAGGAGACAATTGTCTGTAACAATTATCACTGTAGTGTTTGCCCGTTGGTGATTCTCTCTCATTCCTTTTGCATTTATTCATTGGAATTCTACTGTAAGGATGAGCTGCCCATTTTCCATTTGTTCATTAATTCATTCAATTATTTACTTCTATCAGTATGGACTCATGGAAATTTATCTTACAGATTAAAATCCAATACTATCATTTTTTATTCTGTTGATAAAATTGTTCCAACTTTGGCATTTCGGAGCTCCTTCAGCTTGGCCCCTATGTCCTTTTAACATGCTCCATCTTTTTTAGTACATTTGTACTGCATAGCACAAGCTATTCATTCTTTTTTCAATCCTGGAATTAACCTGGTTCCTTTTATTGGAGAATGGTGTTTCTAAACAAAAACCTGGGCACTACAGACATGTGTCACTGCTTCTGGGGGAGAGTGGTATAAAATATATGTAGTATGTATGAACCCACACATATACACATCTCTAGTTCTGAATCTGTCTAAATTAAATACCAGAGTTCATACTGACACAACTGATCCCAACTCAACACCACAGAATTCACTTTAATTTTAGCCTCTCTCTTTTTTTTCTCCAACAATGAGAAACCTGGGTCTACCAGAGTTTATAATGACACCACTGATCCCAACTCAACACCACAAAATTCACTTTAATTTTAGCCTTTCTCTTGTCTTTCTTTCTCCAACAATGAGAAGCCTGGGTCTCACTACTTAGATTTACTAATTTGTTCACTTTAAAAAGTATATACAGGGCTGGCCAAGTGGCGCAATGGTTAAGAACTAGCTTGGGACGCCAGAGAGCCCTTGTTCGGATCCCATATATGAGGGCCAGTGACACTGCCCTCTACCGCTAGGATGCTGAACAACAGCTCAACCTGGAGCTGGGCTGCCGTGAGTCGCCGGCGATGGCGTAGGCTGCAGCCCCGGTGGCAGAGGGTTGCCATGGGCTACCGTGTGTAGCCAGCATCCAGCGTGAGCGGCCTTCCAGAAGCCTCGACTGATCTGCCTCACCCGGGAAGAGCGCAATGATGGTGCCAACTTGGGCCAGTGAAGCAACGTCCTCCACAACTAGACTGAAGAACAAAACAACAGCAACTTGTCTGTTCCCATCCCCCCCAATTCCCCAATAAAAATCTTTAAAAAAAAAAAAGTATATACATTATTCTCAATAAAGACCTGATCAAAGAGAAAACAAAAGCATATACTACACAAATTATTGGGTCGTCGGAAAGTCATGACGTATTTTTCTGTTTTTCAACGCAAAAATGCATCATGACTTTCCTGACAACCCAACAATTTCAGAATTCCCACCCCAGATTTCTGTGAGAAAAAACTTTACTAACTAGGGGCAGCCAGGTGGCTCAGTTGGTTAGAATGCGTCCTCTTTACAACAAGGTTGCCGGTTTGTTTCCCGCGTGGGATGGTGGACTACCCCCTCCTCACGTACCCACAACTAGACTGAAAACGGCGACTGGACTTGGAGCTGAGCGGCACCCTCCACAACTAAGATTAAAGGACAACAACTTGACTTGGAGCTAGTGGATCCTGAGAAAAACACACTGTTCCCCAATAAAGTTAAATAAATAAATACATACATAAGTAAATAAATAATGTTTTAAAAAACCTTTACTAACAAGATTACAGAATTTATGTTGCTCTTTTTTGTCATTGTCCAGTCAAGATACTATTTTCTAAAGTTATTTAGGTTTCTTATTTTCTTCCCCATGTGCTTTCAGTGTGATAATATTATCCATCTGTAATATAGTTAAGTACATTTGTTATGCTTGTGCCCTATTTTGGGTTCTCCCACATTCTGTTTGGTTTTAAATATTTTTTCAGTACACAAAGGGTGGAGTACTAATTTTAAAAAGCCTAGCTCTCAAGCATAAATGTTAGGAGGACAAAGCTGGTTATAGATAGTTTTATGTTACAGGACTGGAGGTTTCCTTTTCTTAGTAAAAACAGAAGAGGCTCTAACACATTTACACATAAAAAAGGTAAGAAGCAACAAGAAAGCCACTGAAAAAAGGTCCTTCATGTAAGGAGATCATGCAGGGAGCTGCAAACAATAGTGACTCTGAGACTTTAGGATGCAATGGAATCACCTAAGGATTTATTAAAGCTCCACCCCTAGTTTCTGGGGTAGGTTTGAGACTTTCTAACAGTTCCCAGGTTAGAATGCTTATGATGCCTGTACAAATGCAACAATTTGAGAAGTAGGTTAGACTAAAATCAGAGTAGCTCCAAGACAGGAACACATATACACTGGCAAACCAGGTACAAAATTGGAAAAAATAAATTAAACTAGACTGAACACTACCTATTCCCAGACTGTGAAGACACTTCACACTCATTGGTTTTTTGCTTTCTTATTTTTTTATTTCCCATGAGCACCTTACTGCCTATCGCAAGCACTTACTACTTTTACAACACTTTCGAAAACAAAATTTTAACTTGCTTTAATCTATCATAATTTTGTTTATAACATTCCCTAATTATGTTTATTATATTTTAGTATTAACTATTACGTTTTTGAAAATGTTAAGAGTAACATTTATCTCATTGTATGTCACAAATATTGCAGGTACAAGGAGAGCTGTTAATTTTTGTTTATCTATCTTGGATCAACAACTCTCCCAAATTTCCTTACTTAACCTAAAACATTTTAAGTTGAACCATCTTAAAATTATCTTTAAACCATCCCAGTTATCTATTATATACTCAAAATTTAAATGCCCAACCCTTTTCACAATGGATTCCACTTCCAAAAACCTTTTCTAAACAAATTATCAGAAGCATAAAAATGTATAAAGGCCTTCATAGTAGTGTTATACACAGAAAAAATATATAACTAACAGCAATTCAAATACAACCATCTCGGGAAAAATGGCCTGGTAAATCACAGTGCCTTCTTACAAAAAATTACATGGAATAAAATCTAAGCTCGTTATATAAGTTCACAATGTATGCAAAGTGTCCATAACCAGCTAAAAAGTCGTAAGAATGACGAAGAATTATGCTATCTTGTCAAGTATTTCCCTAATTCAAAAATGGACTTTTTTTCCAAATTGTACAACTTGTTCATAATGGGCAGAATGGAGTTCTAGTAATAACACATGAGAACTATGAGTGCTCACATATGTTACAATGATGTTCTTTTACCTCAGTTGTATTTGCTTCCGTTTCTGCAGCTCTTGGTTTCTGAGTTCTTCCAAGCGCCTGAGTTCTTCCTGACGCCTCATTAAGTCTATAAAATATTGATTACATATAATATTTTTAGCTTCCCCTTGTATGTTTTTATATAGATAAGCATACAGATTCTCTATTACAGCAATATATTAAGTAACGTAGTCATACTCATGTAATAAAGATTATAATCTGTGCAATTAACCAAGTTAACCTCCTTTCTGGGCCTATTTCTTCATGTGTATGAAGAGAAAAATAAAATTTATCCTTTTGTTCTGAAATTAAAATACTTTTTTTTTAACATAGGGCCTAGAACATACTAAAAACAGAATCAACAGCAGCTACATTTTCACTTACTTTTTTTTATACAAATGAGAATTTTTTCAGCAGTAAGTGCAAAGCCCAAAAAGACACCTTGGGAGACATCAGAGGGCACAAAAGAACCAGACCAAACAGTAGGAGTAGTGAGGTAGGACACTGCATTCAGCCCAAAGAACCTCCCTCCCATAAACATCAGCATAGATGACTCCACTGTGCGACCAACAGTGCGAGCCACACAACTATCACATAGTTAACTTCAGCAAGAGAAACCTTGTGAAACCAACAATATATAATCTACTTATATTCCTAAGAGGAAATTCTTCAATTAGCCAAAGTATGGAAAATGTCCTACTATCATTAATTGTCCAAGAAAGTCAATCAGGTATATCCTGTAACAATTTTACCAGTTTTGCAGGTTAGCTGCTCTTAACAGAGAGTACCCATTATGTAAAATTATAAGTGTAAAAATATGTATATTTCTTTAATGAAACTAAATAGGAGCCCTATCAACTTAAAACAAAACTACCATTTTACATTTACTACATTATTTCTTTTAAGTTGTTAGTATCCAAAGTTCCCGAAAGCTCACTGAAGTGTATGTATCTGTACAATACCATAATACTATCCTTCTGGAGGGAAAAAATGAAAAAACTATATATAACTAGATATGTTTTTATCCTTTGATACAATAAACCAGTCATAGGAATTTTTCTTAAAAATATAATCCAAAGGTATCCATAAACATGAAGACATTAGCTGCAGCACTTATTACTAGACCTAATAACATTTTTAAATGCTTACCAAATATAATGATAAAAGAACAAAAAATTTTATCTATACTGTAATTACAATATATCATAACTATAGGTACACATCAACAGGAAACAGAGGGAGATACACAAATTTAAAGTTTGATTTACTACACTATAAGAAAGCGTTTTCTCAATTTAATATCCTTCAAGTCATGAAAACTGAATGTATGCTGTGATCTAACAAGTCCACTTTCTAGAAATACAAGAATCGATTCAACAGACTGAAAGTTGGTTAAGAGCATGAGCTCTGAGCAACAGGGTCACCAGTTCAATTCCCACATGGGCCAGTGAGCTGCACCGGAGCTGAGCTGCCACCGAGCTGCCAACAGGTGGCAGGATGGCTCAGCTGGTGAGATCACATGCTCCTAACAACAAGGATGCCTGTTCAACTGCCACACAGGATGGTGGGCTATACCCACCTGCAACTAAGGCACCTTAAGCTGAGCTGCCCTGAGCTGCCAACAGGCAGCCCAGATGGCAACTGGACTTGGGGCTGAGCTAGCTGCGCCCTGCACAACTAAGAATGAAGGACAACAACTTGGCTGTTCCCCTTCCCCAATTCCCCAATATAAAAAAAGGAAGATAGGGCCGGCCGAGTGGCGCGATGGTTAAGAACTGGCTTGGAATGCCAGAGGGCCCCGGTTCGGATCCCACATATGAGGGCCAGTGACACTGCCCTCCACAGCTAGGATGCTGAACAACAGCTCGACCTGGAGCTGGGCTGCCGTGAGTCGCCGGCGACGGCGTAGGCTGCAGCCCCTGTGGCAGTGGGTTGCCATGGGCTACCGTGTGTAGCCAGCAGCCAGCGTGAGCGGCCAGCCAGAGCCGGTGACTGATCTGCCTCGCCCGGGAAGAGCGCAATAATGGTGCCAACTTGGGCCAGTGAAGCAACGTCCTCCACAACTAGACTGAAGAACAAAAGGACAGCAACTTGTCTGTTCCCCTTCCCCCAATTCCCCAGCACTGTTCCCATCCCCCCAATTCCCCAAAAAAAAAAAAAAAAAAAGCTAATGGAAAATAACTTTGCAAAATTACTCTGCTTTAAAGACCAAATGCCCTTAGGGAGAAAGCAAAGTTTACTGAGCACTCTGAGGCCCAAAAAGATGTTCTTCATCATCACTATATCCTCAGTACCTCAGACAGTATCTCCTACAACTAACATTAAATCGGTCCTGAAGCAATGACTGTTATACTACTGTTTGTCAGTAGCAGCAACAAATATCTTTGAATGCTTTCACTTCTAATCAATGTTATTTCCTAACCATGGCATGACTGTAGATAATGGGGAAATAAAGTGCCTGGCAGGCAATGAGCAGAGAACAATTCATACTGGAAAGAAGTGCGAGAGCAATCATGGGGCCCAGGAAACTGAAATGTTTTAAATTTCCCAACTGGTTCTAGTGTGTAAGCAAATTTTAAAACCACCAGACTGGATAAACTTGAAGCTCTCTCTTCCAGCTCTAAGCAGCCACTGATTCTTGACTTTATCTTAGATAACAATTTTCAAATTTTCTGCGCGACTATCTTTAAAAATACTACATGATATGAATGAGTTCAGTTTTATTAGAAGAGTAAACTTACAGAACTGCTAGGTTTAGGGTCCAAATAAACCAAAACTGTTATGACTAGTTTCTACTGTTCGTTGAACTGGATTTTGTTTTAACTTATTTGACACCAGCACAGTAGTTATTCAGTGACTTGATCATAATCGCTCAATAAGCATTTACTGAATAGGGGGAGAAAAATGAGATTTTGTTCTAAAGGACAGGGGGGAAAAAATGAGATTTTGTTCTAAAGGAAGTAATAATCTACCAAAAGGATTTAGAGATTGAATGATGATCAAATTTTTACCTTTCAAAGAACTACTGGCTCTAACATAAAGAATGGTTTAGAGAAAGATGGCAGGAAATCCAATAAGTAGGCTACTGCAGAAATCCAGACAGGCATCTGTGGTGCCTTGATGTCTGGGGCAGCCAAGAGAAGGTAGATCAACCTTTACTAAAAGGCTTTATTAGAAAAACAAAAACAAAAAAGTTAAGAGTAAAATGATACAAAGAAATTAGGTGCTTTATTTAAGAAATACAAAACTAGTAAACTATATAAATGTCCAACCACTATGCAGTACACCTGAAACTAATATAAAATAATACTGAATGTCACCTGTTAAGTAAAAAATTTTAAAATGGGGGGGCAGGGGGAGCGGGGCTGACTGCGTGGCACGTTGGTTAAGAGCTGGCTTAGGACGCCAGCTCTGAGCAGCAGGGCCTTGGTTCGGATCCCAAATGAGGGCCAGTGACACTACCCTCTACAGCTAAGATGGTGAACAACAACTCGACCTGAAGCTGGGCTGCCGTGAGTCACCGGCGACTGCGTACGCTGCAGCCCCTGCTGAAGTGTGCTGCCGTAAGCTACCGTGAGTGGCCGGCAACCAGCGTGAGTGGCCGGCAGCCAGTGTGAGCTGCCAAGAGCCGCTGTGAGTGGCCGTCCAGAGGCCGGCGACCAACCTGCCTCACCTGGGAAGAGCACAATGATAATACCAACATGGGCCAGTGAAGCAACATCCTCTACAACTAGACTGAAGAACAAAAGGACAGCAACTTGTCTCTTCCCCTTCCCCTGATTCCCCAGCGCTGTTCCCCTCCCTCAATTCCCCAATAAAATCTTTAAATTAAAAAAAAAAAAACTAGGGGGCAAGGTGAAGAGGAATGAGAGGTCCCAATTTCCAGGTATAAAACAAGTACATCATGGGGTGTAATGTATAGCATAGAAAATATAGTCGGTAATATTGTGATAGCGTGGAACTGTATCAGATGGCTGTTGGACTTATCATGGTTATCACTTCTTTAGGTATGTAAATGTTCAATAACTATGGTGTATACCTGAAACTAATACAATATTTTATGTTCGCTATATTTTAATAAAAATCTTTAACAATACAAAACAATTTCAAAAAGAAATACAAATTATTACAGATAGTGGAAAAAATGAGTGATATAAAGAACTAGGAAAAATTATTTGGAGAATTAAAGAACAGAACAAAAAGAGAAATAATAAAGTCAGGAAATTAAAAAAAAAAAACCTAGAAAGAGAAAAAGAGACAAGAAATGAGCTTCTGAAATTTAAATATCTTGACATGTTAATAGGTATTTGCTCAGTAAATATGAGAGTAAACTATCACCCTTTATGACTATTCTTAGGAATTCAGTTAGCTCAGTCTCAAATGTCTAACATGTTCTTGCCAATTACTAAGAATTTAGTCTCCCCGAATCCCATATCCACCAGCACACCAAGAATCTTTTTTATCTCTGCCAAAGGATATCCATTTGTAATCTTCTGACATGTAATAATAATCTTAAACAGCCAGCATTTGTCCTAATTCTTTCCACCAAACAAAATCTTGATATGAGACTTCAAGCCCTATCTACATAGCAAGAATTACCCATCGCACTTCTCTTTTTTTGCCAGCAGAATCATGTATTTTGCTACTGGCAAAATTTAACAACCTTAATTACCTCCAACAACACTACTTAATGTAGGTAAAACTGATTTTAAGTACTGTTTTAAAGGAAGCTCTCTTGGAAAAGGGAGGTTTTTGTTCTAATATGCTGAGTTCCAACTGTCTCTCGAGACTCCTAATTGGCAACTTAAACAGTAACAGATACCAATGGGAAATATAAATGAACCTCAAGAAAAAAATCAGAACATCTACATGAAAACCCATTTTTACCTTGCCTCATTAGCATTAACTGGTGTTCATGCCTGGCTGCTTCCATTTCTGCCTCCAGTTTCTCTTTGGCTTCTCTGATGTTTCTATCAACCTGCTCACGCTGCTGCTTTTCCATTTCGTCAAGAGCCTTCCATCGAGATGCGTACTCAAATTCAAATGTCCCAGGCTGAGCAAAACGTGGTGGCTGCTCTCTTTCCCTAAGTTTACATTTAAAAAGATACAGAAATGTATGTTTAAAAGGTAAAATAACAAAGCTAACAAGAACTACCATTTACTGAGCACTTACAATGTTCACGGTACTGTGCCAGGCAAGTGCTCTACAGGAATTCCTCATGGCAACATTGTGATGCAGGTTGTAACAAGCTTGAGTTTGAGAAACGGCCCAAGGATGCCCAACTAAGAAGTAATGGTGCCAGGATTCAAACCCAGGCAATCGGATGCTATAACCTGTACTTCCCTAATTATCACCTCCAATAAGGCCTTTCTGTAATTCATTCAACAAACAATTTTACATACAACAGTCTGCAACTGAATCAAAGGTGCACTAAGCTAACTGTCTGAAATCAGATTTTTTTTCTAATAGTAACTTTTAGGGATACTAAAAGCAGATATAATTTATTAAATGCTATGTGCCAAGCTAACTGGCTAGGCCAAAAACTAAAGGACTTAAAAAAATAATCAAAATAAAAAATAAACAAAGGCCTAATTTACCACAATTGTAGTTATTTGTTGAATACTTGTTTCTCTTGCTAGACTGTAAACTTGGTAGGGACATGTAATGTCTGTTACTGCTATCCTTCAAGTACCTATATAGTACTTGGCACACTGTATAAATTGAATTTTTCTTGAACAAATGAAAAACGATGAGCAAACAAATGACCAAAATTTTTTTGAAAAACGAAGACCAATAAATATATTTGAAATTCAAAGAAATTCTTCAATTACATTTGCCTATCATAGCTTCTACTAAAAAGTACTGATAACACTATCCCCACTCCACCAATAAAAGCATAGATGCCTTGCATTCATAAATTTTAACTTTTAGGGTTGGCCGAGTGGCACGTTGTTTAAGAGTTGGCTTGGGACGCCAGCTCTGAGGAGCAGGGCCCCGGTTCAGATCCCACATGAGGGCCAGTGATGCTGCGCCCTATACAGCGAAGATGGTGAACAACTCGACCTAGAGCTGGGCTGCCACGAGTTGCCGGCGACAATGTAGGCTGCAGCCCCTGCTGCAGTGGGCTGCCATGAGCTACCATGAGTGGCTGGCAGCTAGCACAAGCTGCTGTGAGCCACCATGAGCGGCTGTCCAATGGCCGGTGAGTGACTGCCTCATTCGGGAAGAGCACAATGATAATGCCAACATGGGCCAGTGAAGCAATGTCCTCCACAAGTAGACAGGAGAACAAAAGGAGAGCAACTTGTCTGTTCCCCTCCCCCAATTCCCCAATAAAATCTTAAAAAAAAAAAATTTAATGTTTATTTCAGGGTGGGGAGGGGAAGATGAATGGGGGGACAAATTTGGGAGATAAACAAAAGGCTGTCAGCCAGCGGGGAAGACGTGCTTGTATCAAGAAAGAGCTTCAAATATCTCCAGAGGTATTTAAGGAAAATCACAAAATTAACCATGATCTAGACCGTCTATCCCTAAAAAAAGACTTGGATTTTCGTTTTTTTAAGCATTGAGTAGGAAAGGGAAAGGAATGGAGGGGATCCATCACCCACTAATTTTTCTGAAAGAACTGTTTTAGTCATTCCTATGTCAGGCATTAACTATAATATAAAAATTCTTCTTTTTCTCCCAAAGGAAACTTTGAAAATATGGATTTGGGGAGTTAGAAATGAATTTGAATTGTGGCTCTTATGTTTTGTGAACATTTCCTTCTGAGCATAACTCTTTAGTAGTAAAATTGGGAATACAACGGTATCTTACAAGGTTTGCTGGGATAATTAAACAAATTAATCATTCTATAAACAAATATTATCTATACATTCAATTTCTTGTAACACCCTAATAATTCCAGTTCTCTAATTCCTAAATCCAAAAGTATACTCTATTTCACATTTGTAATGATTAGCTATAACCAGAAAAAAGGGTCAACAGAATAGGAAATCAGTCTTTGAAAAATAGCAGAAAGAGATTAAAATGGTTATGAATCACAACTGATTACTACTGACACTTCTTCACTGTACTGATTTCCTCCCTCGCTTCCAGGACACGCTCTGCTGGCTGACCCTTACAGAAATGACTGCTCTCAGTCTTTGCCTGATTCCTCCTGATCTTCCCAACCTCTATGAAGCGGAGTACTCCAGGGTTCACCCTTTTGACATGATTTTCTATCACATGAGGTAAGTCTAGCCCAGACAGCTCATCTAAAATCAGATGAAACTCCCAACTACTGATTTAACATCTCCACCTAGATGTTCAAAAGCCATCTCAAGCCTAACCTTGTCCAAAACAGAGTTCCCGATCTTCCTACCCCAATCTGCTCCTCCTACAGAATTCTCCCAGTCATCAGCAACTTACATACTTCCAGTTACTTAAGCCAAAAACTTTGTAATCAACCTTTTAACTCTTTCCCCCATATGACCATAATACATCAGCAAAATCCAAAGTCTATTTTCAAACTATATCCAGAATCTGACCACTTCTGACCATCGCCATTGTGACTACCACTCCATGTCAGCAGGCTCCTAAACTTATCTCCCCAATTCCACCCTTAGCTCTTTATAATCTACCCTTAAAACAGAGCCAGAAAGCCCCTGTTAAACTTAAGTCACTACTCTGGTTCTTCCTTTCTCATCAAATACAATACAAAAGCCCAAGTCAGCTTAACAGCCTACAATGCCTAACATCCTGCACTCCCTACTCCCCCTCACCCCTCAGTGCATCCCATCTCTGCCTCACCCACTATTCCCCTTCACTCACTATGCTCCAGCTAAGCCAGCCTCATTACTGTTACTGGAAAATGCAGGACAGAGTCCTCCTCCCTCAGAGCCTTTACAGTTACTAGTTCCTTTGCTGAGATCACTGTTCTCTACTCCATCCCCTTCTGACAGCTACATGGCTAGCTTTCTCCTCCTACTTCAAACTGTTCATCAAATGTCAACCTCTCAGGTAGGTTTTCCTAACCCTCTGTATGAAAGAGTCGCACTTCACTGCTCCCCAGCACCCACTTTCCCCAGTCTTTACACCATATTTTATTGTTTGCCCAACTTATCACCCCCACAATTTCTAGTCAGTTTTGTTTCACTGATACATCTCCAGAACCAGGAACACAGCAAGCACTCCAATTTGTCATTTGAAACAACTATAAGGAAAAACATTCAACTGCACTAAAATCCAAGAATGCTAATTAAAAAAACATGAATAAAATACCACTTTGAACACAGACTGCCAAACCTTAAAATCACAATATCCAGGGCCAGCCAAGTGGCGCACTGGTTAGGAGTTGGCTTGGGACGCTAGCTCTGAGCAGCAGGGCCCCGGTTCGGATCCCACACTAGGGCCAGTGACACTGCGCCCTCTACAGCTAAGATGGTAAACAACAGCTCGACCTGGAGCTGGGCTGCCGTGAGTCACCAGGGACAGGCGTAGGCTGCAGTGAAGCTGCAGTGGGCTGCCATAAGCTACCATGTGTGGCTGGCAGCTAATGTGAGCAGCCAGCAGCCAGCGTGACCTGCCAAGAGCTGCTATGAGCAGCCGTCCAATGGCCGGCGACCAATCTGCCTCACCTGGGAAGAACGCAATGATAATACCAACATGGGCCAGTGAAGCAAAATCCTCCACTTCTAGACTGAAGAACAAAAAGGAAAGCAATTTCTCTGTTCCCTTCCCCCCGATTCCCCAATAAAATCTTTCAAAAAATAAAAAAAATCACAACATCCACTTTTTTGTCAGGATGAAGAAAACTACTTTTATACATACTCTAATGAGTATAAATTGGTATATTATTTCTGGAGAACCATTTCCAGTATGAATCAACTTTAAATAGGCATGTCCTGTGATCTAAGCCTTTATACCTCAGTTTAGTAGTTTTTTTAAACAGTACTTCTCACTACTTAATACATGTTTTCAAATCTTTGGTTTATTCTTTTTACATCTCCATTACCAGAAAGGTAAGCATGAGGACAGAAACAATTCAAAGTTGCATTGGTAGCACCGAGAACAGTGCCAGGCACAAAAACATTCCAGTATTTGTTTAACTTATGCATGCAAATATGTTACAGTTTTATTTATTTAATAAACAAGTGACAGGTTGAAAACAACACAATGTATTCAGGTAACACATAAAAATTTTTCTGTCATACTGCATGAAAACCATTTGGTAAAAAAATAATATACAACTTGTTGAAAATAGGCTATTTTTCTTTTTATCTCTAGACTTCTTACCCTGTGCCAAGTTATTTACCTAGGACGTCCTCCACCCTCCCTCCCAAAAAAGTCTCCTTTGAACCTATACCTGAAGCATACTAATTAAATAATTTCATGATTATCTAGATTTCATTGTTTCTCTGGCATAAATATTATTCCTACCTACCTATCCCTGCCGTATTTATAAAACTAGAGACTTTTCTAAGTTTATATTTTAGTCATATACAAAAGAAAACTAACATTCCATGTAAACCAGGCCAATAGAACACCATATAATCCAACAATACTTGAAAACAAATGTAATAAATACCCGATAGCATAAACATCTCAAATATCTTTATTAATAAACTCTTACTTATGATATTGTTGAGTTTTCTGCATTAGCTTCTCTGGCAAGCCATCTTCATCATCAAACTGCTCCATAGGCTCTACAATGACTGGACGTGGGGTCCTGGATAGGTAAAAAGCATTAATAAGAATTAATAATGTCTAGAATTATCATCCTCCTAGAAATATTTTATAATTCCAAGGTACACACTTGGAAAATGTCTCTCAAGAAAAATATCTCAGTTATCATAAATACTCATAAAATCCATTTGCTGCACCAGACACAGGTGAACATCAAAGTCAGACAAAGATGAATGCTTATTTTTAGAGCACAGAGTCCAAGATGACAGAAAAGTAAACCAGTAACTATGAACCTGTGTAACCAGTGCAGTTAACTTCTACAAAGTATGATGAAAAAGAATGAGTACTTATCTCATGTTTTATGTATGTGGTGTCAAGTCCCTATGTTCCATGCCTCAATCTCCCAACTCCATCCACCTCCCAGCCTCTCTGTGGCTTACCAGTCTTGTTCAGTAGTCTTTCTAAAGCCTAAAATGAGGCCTAAAAGATACCAGCCAAGCAAAAGGGAAGGAGGGTGAGTCGGAAGAAATAACATATTCCAGGAGGAAGTTGAGGGAAGAGGGAGACAAGAATGGACGATGAAAGATACGACTTGGAAACCCTCCTTCTATTGTCCTAAGTAAAATAGGAGGAAGGGAAAGCTCAATGGGGAAAGACAAAAAAGGAGAATAAGTGCAGTGGACGATATACTGATACTACGTTTTTCCTTGCTATCTGTCTCTCATCAATCATGCTAGCAATAGTGAAATCTACTTATACTGCCTTCTGAACAGGGATGCTTGAGAGATAAACAAATCACTGTTAATCTTTGAAATGTTAACAGAAGAGCTAGAGAAGCAAAGGGGCTTTCTGGATTCCAAAAGCATCCCTTTACAAATCAATAAAGATCCAGAGGTTAAAAGACTTTAAATCCTAAACTGTAGGGAAAGATATAAAACGATCATTTAGAAACAATTCCTGGGCTACTGGAGACATTTTAGAGGGAGAATTAAAAGCAGATGTCAAATACTTTGGGGAGATAGAGACAATGAAATTATAGCAACCTCATGTAAATTGAGTGGGAACCCAAATGAAAAGGGCCTCCACTTCCAGGGTGAGACCTCATACCCAACATGTAAGAATGAAGAAATGAGTAAACACAATCTCACTGAGTACATGCACCCAAATGAGGTATGAGAAACCTGAAAGGTCCTGAGCCCATCCAACTGATGAGAGGATGTGGTACATACTTCCAAGAGGACCCAAACGGGCCCGGGGACAAAATGAAGATGATGCACCACTTAGCCAATGGAAGCCATGGCAGGACCACAAACATTATAATAGTAATAGGGCCAATTAAGAGCAACACCTGTGGGCCGGCAGAGTGGCTCAGTTGGTTAAGAGCTCACTCAAGAGTTTGAGCTCTGAGCAACAGCAGTTCGAGTCCTGACCCGAGCTGAGCAGCCGCTGAGCTGCCAACAGGTAGAAGGATGGCTCAGCTAAAAAAAAAAAAAGAGCAACACCTGAGCAGAGACCAACAAAGACAGAAACTTCAATACCACGTGGCCACCACCACTCAAGAGAAAAATCAGAAACGGAAACTCAAGAAGGAAAATGTACTAAGCAGATCACCTGTCACTCAGAACATGATAATTATTGGAACTGACAAGATTAATTTGATGAAGTCAGGGAATGGTGAACAAAATTAGAGAACACAATGACTACTACACTATCAATGTCGAATGTCGTTAAATATAGAATTTTAATTTTCAACATGTGAACATGGCCCATAGACACTCTTATACACTAGGGGTCGGACAGGGTACAGCCCTCTGAGAGAGAACTTGACCAATACATACAAATGTTATACATTTACTATACCTTATTCCTGCAATTCTATTTCCAAAGCAAAAAATAAGTAATGAGGAAATATCAGTCTCAACTACATTCACATTACATAATACTACAAAAAAAAAATGTGTGGTTTACAGGGATGTCCTTGAGAGACTCGGTCTTATTTTTTCTTGACTGAGATAAGTGCTAAAATGTGAACATTTATGTTTTCATTGTATGGGTCACTCCCTATAGAAGCTCCCTTTGTCCATTATCTTAGCCCTCTTGTTTATTTCACTTTGATCTTTACGTGTCAACAAGTTTTTTTTACAAACCTAACTTAAATTTATAGGTGTAATTACTAAATTTACTTTTTTTACAAATGTAGGTAAATATTATATACAAAAAAAATATCAAAAGGAAACAAATCAAAATGGTCAACCATAATGTTAAATCTGGTTATCATCTGTGGGTTGTTGTTTTTTTTCACCTTGTCCATGAATTAATCATTAGTTTTGTTGTAAAATTGATAAGCATTACATTGCAAGAAAACTTTAAACAACATAGTAAATTTTAAAGAAGTTCCATGAAATCCCATCACTTGGAGAGGACCTCTAATCAAGTTTCATAAACATCTCTTCAGATTTTCCTTTCTGCTAGATATACTTTTCTGTAGAATCGCCTATACATGCTTTCTTCAGAAATCCTGTATGACAATATAAAATGGTACCATACAGATGTATGTATCATAATTCTTTAACCATACCAATTGGTGTACATTTAACATTTCCATGTTTTTTCTGTAATGATATCTCATATGATCAACACATTTGTGACTGATTCCTCACTTTTTCAAATCTTTTTAGAACTGTGAGAATAAGGTAGAATATACAGTACTAAACAAATGGTGACTTGAAAGATGATGCAACATTTTGTGCATGCAATTAAAAAAAAGGATTATGTAATAACAATTTGTTTCACTACTAAATCATCATTACAGACATACCACTTTGTGGGGTTTTTTTCATTTGTCTTTTTTTAACATATTTGAGAATTCAAGAGTAATGATAAAATAATTTCTAGGATGATGAAATGTCTTATGGTAGAGGGAAAATAAAAATCACTAGGACCTGATAATGTTATCTTAGACTAATAAAATGATCCTATGGCCCCACATGTTAATTTTAAGAAAATCAAATAAGTTTATTCTATTTTTTAAATTTTCTTTTTGTTCTTTTGAAGACATCTAGAAATAAGTACTAAAATATCAATCCTTACAAATAATTAGGACTGATCAAAAAAGAAAGTAAAGGGCCAGCTGAGTGGCGCGTTGGTTAAGAGCTGGCTTGGGACGCCAGCTCTGAGCAGTAGGGCCCTGTTTCGGATTCCATATGAGGGCCAGTGATACTGCCCTCTACAGCTAAGATGGTGAGCTGAGCAGCTCGACCTGGAGCTGGGTTGCCTTGAGTCGCAGGCAAGCGCGTAGGCTGCCATAAGCTACCGTGTGTGGCCAGCAGCAAAAGGACAGCAACTTGTCTGTTCCCCTTCCCTCGATTCCCCAGCACTGTTTCCCTCTCCCAATTCCCCAATAAAATCTTTAAAAAAAAAAAAAAAAGAAAGTAAAAACCTAAAATTGGACCCAGTTGACACTAATGATATACCAAAGGTCAAGTGTGCTTTCCTGGAAAGGTACTTAGCAATATGTACTTCCACCACTAGTAGGTATGTATAGAAAACTTTTTGTGTTTCCAATATATAAACAAAAGAAATATTACATTTTTGTTTTTTATTAAAGAATGTTTTTTTTCTGAATATAAAAGTAACCCCATTTAATGGACAGGTATGTGTTGAAGCAAACAAAATGTTGGAAAAACTAATCCCTTTTAAGCATGAGTATAAAATAGGAAAAGCATGAAAAATTATTAATGGAACAACCGCTTGCGTGCAGAAGAGTTAACAAAGCAAGCCTGAAACTGCTATCCCATCACCCTAACTGATAAGGCTGGTTTTCTGTGCCAAAACTGTCCAATTGGTTTATGTTGAGCATAAACCTTCTAAGTTTGTTTCCTTCTAGGAGTCTGAAATTTTGATATTTACCAGATATAAGGGAACTCACAAAACTGACACTCCACCCTCCACCTCCACCCCCACATTCGTAGGGTCAGTTCAAGTTCTCCTAGTAGTTTAAACACTTCATTGTGTTAGCTCAACTAACTGCTGGAGGAGTTAAGACCATCCCTCAACGGAAGGACTTAGAAGCTTACACCTAGTTTCTTCCAGACTTCATCCCACGTGCATTTTTCCTTTGCTGATTTTGCTCTGTATTCTTTCACTGTAATAAATCTTGATTGTTAGGCTATATGCTGAGGCCTGAGGCCTTCTAGTGAACACCAAACCCAGAGATGGTCTTGGAGATCCCCGAGATACATCTGTAAGCACACTACAATCAAATATAACTTCTGCTAACATATTCACATTTTTTATTTCCAGTCCAGTCTTTTTTCTAATCAGTTTACAAACACAAATTTGGATCACAGTATACATCTAGTTTGTGTCCTTTCTCTTCTTACTTGCTAAATTAATGTTTTATTAATAGACGAAAAAAAGTTTTAGAGCAGTTGTTAGATAGCATATGTGCATAGCTGAATGCTATGCCATAAACAAATGTTACGTTCATAATTTTATTTCTGTTTGTATTTGAGACATAATTCACATACCATAAAATTCACCCCTTTAAAGTATACAGTTCAGTGGTTTTTAGTATGTGCAACCATCACCATAATCTAATCCCAGATATTTTCATCACCCTAAAAGGAAACCCCAAGCTCATTAGTCATCAACTCCCCATTCCCCTTCCCCTGAGCCTCCGGCAACTACTAGTCACTATAATATATACTACCTTTAAAAACATTCTTTGCATAAGTGTTGCATTTCCAGTGTCATAAATTTTTTTTTCTTTTAAAATTTTTATTGGGGAATTAGGGAAAGGGAACAGTATTGGGAAATCGGGGAAAAGGAACAGTCAAGTTGTTGTCCTTCAATCTTAAATGTGGAGGGCGCGGCGCAGCTAGCTCAGTTCCAAGTCCAGCTGCCATCCGGCCACCTGTTGGAAGCTCGTGGCCACTCAGCTCAAGGTGCTGTATTCAATCTTGGGGGAGGGGGAAGGCCCTGCAGCCCACCATCCCATGCAGGAGTCGAACCGACAACCTTTTTGTTAGGAGCACATGGTCTCACCAGCTGAGCAATCCTGCCAACTGCTGGCAGCTCAGCTCAGGCGCAGCTCACTGGCCCATGTGGGAATCAAACCGGCGACCCTGTTGCTCAGAGCTTGCATTCTTAACCAACTGAGCCACTTGGCCGGCCCCTCAAAAGTAAGATTTTTCATTTTCCTTTTTTCCCCATTTTTCTGCTTCTCATCACTTCAAAACAGCATAAATATGTAGTTTACACATATTTTTGCATAGTATGTTAATCATTATATATACTGTACAAGGCTATTTTACCTAAAACATGTACAGTATACAGTATTTTATGACAACTTTAAGGTATTTTCAAGAGAAATTTTGATTACACAAGGTGTCTACAGTTAGAAACTCAATCCCTATGATACCATTCCTATAAATCACTTGTATTATCTCAGATATCTGAGATTCAGTCAGTCCACCAATAAATATTTGATTACCCAATATATACCAAGACTGTACTTGAGGCTAGTTATACAAGGGTAAACAAAATAATCCCTAAAGTCTTTAAGACCAAAAAGAAGTAAATAATCACTTTAAGAGATATCAGAAAGAATAACAGAGGGAGCCCATTTTAGATAAGTCAGGAAAATCCTCTCCATGAAGTGACATTTCACCTGAGACCCACTAATCAAACAGCAGAGAAAAGAGAATCCCGGGAGTTCCATGAGAAGGTTTAACTAACAGTTAAAACAGTTCCTGAGCACGAAGTCTACAGAAAGAATAAACCACTCTACCTGTAGCATAATATAAAAAGCAAGGATTCAGCATCAGACTACACTTTACCATTTATTAGCTGGGCAACCCTAAGCAAATTACTTAACATCTCTGGGCCAATTTTCTTATCTGAAAAATGGGATAAATATAACCAGTGTGCAAAAATCCGAGAGATCATGATTATGAAGTATCTGACAGATAATAAAATATTCAACACCTTGCCCATTCTCTCAAAATTATTTTTAAATTATTCTAAAAGTTAACTGTAAGAAATCATTAAATATTTACCAATGCCTGACTATGACTTTAAAACACACTAATTAAAGCTATCATTAGAAGAAAAAAAATACTAATCACATGCCTTGCCTACTGCTTTATAGTTCCTTCATTCATTCATTAAATAATCATTTAATTACTTACTGGAACTGGATATCTGTAAGAAAAAAACTCATTTGTTACCTTATATCACACTCAAAATGAATCACAGGTACTAATAAAAAAGCTATAAAATTTCTCAGGAAAACACGAGAAATGCTTTGCTACCTTAGGAAAGGCAAAGATTTCATAAAAAGATACAAAAAGGCCGAGTGGCTCAGTTGGTTGAGAGTTGGCTTAAGAGCACAAGCTCTGAGCAACAGGGCCGCCAGTTTGATTCCTACATGGGCCAGTGACGCTGCAACTGAGCTGAGCTGTTGCTGAGCTGCCAACAGGTGGCAGGATTGCTCAGCCGGTGTAACAACACGATTGCCTGTTCAATGGTGGGCTATGCCCACCTGCAACTAAGACTGAACTCGGCACCTTGAGTTCTGCTGCCGCCCGGATGGCTCAATGGATAGAGCGTGCACTCTTAACAAGGCTGCTGGTTCGACTCCCACATGGGATGGTGGCTACACCCACCCACAACTAACATTGTAACACAGTACCTTGAGCTAAAGGCCACGAGCTGCAGATGGGCAACCAGATGGTGACTGGCGCCCTCCACAACTAAGATTGAAGAACAACAACTTGGCTGGTCTCCCTCCCCAATTCCCCAACACTGTTCCCCTCCCCCAACTCCCCAATTAGCACATTGAGGACGGGGCATTTAAATATATAGATGCAAATCTGTGTCACTGGTCCACAATGTGTTAAAAGAAAAAAAAAAGGCAGAAACTTTGAAGACACTTCACAAAGCTATAGAAATAGCCAAAAGCACATGAAAAGATGCTTATCATTAGTAGTTAGGAAACTAAAATTCAAACCACAATGACACACACCTACACTCATTAGAATATCTAACAGACTGAGACTATCAGTGTTGGTGAGGATTTGGAGCAGCTAGAACGCTCCCATTCATTGTTGGTGGGAATGTAAAATGGTAGAAGCATTTTAAACAGTTTGGCAGTTTCTTAAAGTTGAATACACAGTCATTCATTCACTCCTAAATGTTACCCAAGCCACATAAAAACATAATGTTCACAAAAAGCCTTCTACACAAATGCACATCATAGCTTTATTCACAGTGGACAACAGTTGGAAGCAACTTGAACATCCACCCACAGGTCACTGGACAAACTATGCTTACGTCCATATGATGGAAGACAATTCAGCCATAAAAAGGAACAAAATATTGATACAATGATATGGATGAAATCTTATAAACATTATGCTAAGCAAAATAAATCAGACACAAAAGAGCACAGCCTATATTATTTCATTTATATGAAATACTAGAAAAGACAAAACTAATTTACAGTAACAGAAAGACCAATAGCTGTCTAGGACGTGGACAGGGCTGGGGAATAACAGCAAAGGGGAACTTCTGTTGGGTGACGGAAATGTTCTATATCTTGATTGACTATATATTCATCTGATAAAACTCACAGACTGAATCAGTTTCTTTGACTCCACATACTTGACTATACATACATCTGTTAAAACTCATTGATTTAAAATGGGATGCATTTTAATGTATGTAAATTATGCCTCAATAAAGTGGATTAAAATATCATTCATTCATTATTTAAATACAGACATACCTCGTTTTATTGCACTTTACAGATATTGAAGTTTTTACAAATTGAAGGCAAACCTGTGTCAAGCAAAGTCTATCGGTGTCATTTTTCCAACAGCATTTGCTTTTTTTTTTAATCAATAAAGTAATTTTTTTTTTTTGGTTATTCTGGTTATGGTGGGGTTTTTTTGTTTTTTATTTATTTATTTATTTATTTATTTTTAGCTGAGCCATCCTGCTACCTGTTAGCAGCTCAGCGGCTGCTCAGCTCGGGCTGGACTCGAACCGCTGTTGCTCAGAGCTCACACTCTTGAGCGAGCTCTTAACCAACTGAGCCACTCGGCCGGCCCTAATAAAGTAATTTTTAACTAGGGTATGCGTTTTTAAAAAACAATGTTATTGCACACTTAATAAACTACAATATAGTGTAAACGTAACTTTCATATGCAATGGGAAACCAAAAATTTTATGTGACTCACTTTATTGCCATATTCACTTTACTGCAGTGGTCTGGAAACTAACCCACAATATTTCTGAGGTATGCCTGTATAAAATTGTGCTTGCCTATAACAGATGTTCAGTAAGTTCAATGAGAATCATAATACAAAACATTTCTGAGATTCAAATATGAATCAATACACGTAAGTTTGAAAAAAAGTATGACCCTGATTCCTAGAGGCATACAAAAATTCCTTATTTATATTGAGTATTTACTCAATACCTACCTACTATATGACAAGACAGTATGAACTACAAGGAAAGACAGAAATCCAGAAGATAGAGAAACCCATTTGTAACAGCATGGAAGAATGATAAGATGTTTAAAACTTACGTTGTTAGCAAGAACGCCCCATCACCACATCTTTCCAGAGCCTTTCGCGCAGGAGGTTTTGCTGCAAATTCTACAAAACCTTTTCCTGTAGCTCTACCACGATCATCCACAACCACAACAGCTTTCTCTACTGGACCAAACTGGGAAAAAGCTTGTTCTAGAAGCTCATTGGAAACAACTGGAGAAAGGTTCTTGACAGTCAGGGCTGCTCCATGTGTTGCAAAACGAATTCGGAGAGGTCGGCTCTTCAAAATGGTGCCATCCAGCTCTGCTTTTGCAATTTCAGCCAGTGTTCTGGATTCCTTATTAGGAGGAAAAATCACTTTTTAAAGATGAGAGCAACACAAAAATTTTAAACAGTGGTTTGTTTCTAGGGAGGCTAGCTGGGTAGCTTTAGAAAATAAAAGACAGGGTCACTTTGTGTTTTTCAATTTTGGTATCTTGCATTTTATTAATTATTCAAAGATAAGTAATTTTAAATAAAAATTTTAAGTAGAAAGTCCCAACCCCAATGTCTATTAAAAGCCATCACTTAAAGACTGTCTTATAAATAACCTTATAAAGATTCTTATAAACAACTTATAAGCTATTAAATATTTCAAGCAATTTTTTATAATCTCCTACATATATTAAAAGAAACACTTATATTTGAGACCAAGTACCAGTTACTAGAAACTATTGTTGAAAATAGGATTCTCTATGCACACCATGTTTTTTATATTTATATCTTAATAAAACATCCCATCTCTTATCAAACTCCCTTTCCTTATTTACATTTTTCTTTTACTTTTTAACTGTGAAACTATTATCAGGTGTTGTTAATCACTTCTCCAGAAATACTTCCGTGGGCTACACAATTCTCACCATTATACTGAGCGAAGCAAACACATACATACATTCATGGGTTCTAAGAGTTCCCTCCATTTTACAGAAAAGCAAGTGCACATGCACTTATTAACATTCATTGCTGAAATAACAAGAGATGTTTCTTCTTTTTTTTTTTTAAGATTTTTTTATTGGGGAGTTGGGGGGATGGGAACAGTGCTGGGGAATTGGGGGAAGGGGAACAGACAAGTTGCTGTCGTTTTGTTCTTCACTCTAGTTGTGGAGGANTGGAGCTGGGCTGCCATGAACCGCCAGCAACAGCATAGGCTGTAGTGTGTGTGGCCAGCAGCCAGAATGAGCAGCTGGCAGCTGGTGTGAGCTGTTAAGAGCCACCGTGAGCGGCTGTTCAGAGGCCAGCAACCAATCTGCCTCACCCGGGAAGAGCGCAATGATAATACCAACATGGGCCAGTGAAGCGACGTCCTCCACAGCTAGACCGAAGAACAAAAGGACTGCAACTTGTCTGTTCCCCTTCCCTTGACTCCCCAGTGCTGTTCCCCTCCCCCAATTCCCTAATAAAATCTTTTCAAAAAACAAACAAAAAAATGACATCAACATGCTTTCTGAGATAACCTGTTTACATGTTTACATGTAACCCTTTACATGTTTATCCAGACCTCTCTTTGCTTGGTCCTCTGTTGTCCCTAACCTACTCAATTTTTATTTCTCTGTGTTGGACCTTGTCCTTGAAGAGAACCCTAGCTGTTCAGTTTCAGGAGCTCAGAGGGTCCTCCTATGGGCTCCTCACACTTTATCAGTCACTGAATTAGGAAAACCCCTTCCAGTCCAGGTGTTCCAGGATTGGCCTGCTGTATCTTTCGGTCAATACCTGTTGGCTCTTTGGTGGGTTCTTTTAGTCTCAGATCCATCATGCCCCTTACTTTGCTTTATCCCATTCAGAAGGCTGATAGCACTCAGAATTCATCCTCATCCACTTGTATTTAGAAGTTTGTGAAGATATCCTATCACTTGTAGGAAATATCTTTCATGGGTTTTTGGTGTTGTTACTTGCTTTATTTTTATTGGTGATTAGGTAAGATCTAAAAACTATGTTGCCACACCTGCTTCCATCTCCCATCTCCCTAACAAAGGCAAATTGACCAATCTATTTTTAATTTTTTTTTAAAGATTTTATTGGGGAACTGGGGGGAGGGGAACAGCATTGGGGAATCTAGGAAGAGGAACAGACAAGTTGCTGTCCTTTTGTTCTTGAGTCTAGTTGTGAAGGACGTCGCTTCACAGGCCCATGTTGGTATGATCATTGTGCTCTTCCTGGCTGAGGCAGTTGGTCACCGGCCATTGGACGGCCACTCACAGTGGCTCATGGCAGTTCTCGCCGGCTGCCAGCCACTGGTCGCTCACGCCGGCTGCCAGCCACTCACGGTAGATCTCAAAAGCCCACTGCAGTCCAACTGCAGCCTATGCCGAAGCTGGCAACTTACGGCAGCCTAGCTCCAGGTTGAGCTGCTGTTCACCATCTTAGCTGTAGAGGGCGCAGCGTCACTGGCCCTCATGTGGGATCCGAACCAGGGCCCTTCTGCTCAGAGCTGGTGCTCCCAAGCCAACTCTTAACCAATGCGCCACTCGGCCAGCCCTATTTTTAATTTTTATGGTTACTGTATTTTGGGTCCTGGTTAAGAAATTCTTGCCTCTCCCAAGGTCATGAAATACTTTCCTATGTTTACTTATGAAATTTTTGTTAGGGCCGGCTGCGTGGCTTAGTTGGTTAAGAGTTGGCTAAAGAGCATGAGCTCTGAGCAACAGGGCTACCGGTTCGATTCCCACTTGGGCCAGTGATGCTGTGCCCAAACTGAGCTGTCACTGAGCTGCCAACAGGTGGCAGGATGGCTCCCCTGGTGTAACAACAAGATTGCCTGTTCGATGGTGGGCTATGCCCACCCGCAACTAAGACTGAACTCTTCACCTTAAGCTGAGCTGCGCCCAGATGGCTCAGTGGATAGAGCGTGCACTCTTAACAACAAGGCTGCTGGTTCAACTCCCGCATGGGATAGTGGCTACGCCCACCTGCAACTAAGACTGAAACACAGCATCTTGCTCTTAGAGGCCACGAGCTGCCGAAGGGAAGCCAGGTGGCGACTGGCGCACTCCACAATGAAGACTGAAGAACGACAACTTGGCTGGTCCCCTTCCCCAATTCCCCAATAAAATCTTTAAAGAAAAAAAAGGTTCTGTTGGGCCGGCCGAGTGGCGTGATGGTTAAGAACTGGCTTGGGACACCAGAGGGCCCCGGTTCAGATCCCACATATGAGGGCCAGTGACACTGCCCTCCACAGCTAAGATGCTGAACAACAGCTCAACCTGGAGCTGGGCTGNATGGTGCCAACTTGGGCCAGTGAAGCAATGTCCTCCACAACTAGACTGAAGAACAAAACAACAGCAACTTGTCTGTTCCCCTTCCCCCAACCCCAATTCCCCAATAAATTTAAAAAAAGAAAAAAAAAGAAAGTGTATTAGGGAAGGGAAGATCTTTCACTAGTGTAAAATTGTAATTAAGAGAACTTCCTTAGGGCCAGCCTAGTGGCTCAGTTGGTTAAGCGCTCACTCAAGAGTGCGAGCTCTGAGCAACAGGGTCACCAGTTCAATTCCTGGCCTGAGCTGAGCTGTTGCTGAGCTGCCAACAGGTGGCAGGATGGCTCAGCTTAAAAAAAAAAAAAAAAAGAGTGCTTCCTTAAAATAAAAGATGACTTGCAATCATATGCTGGACAGGCCCAACTAAGTACATTTTGCAATGTCTTCTCTATTATCTGAACACTCTATAAGCAGCATACATTATTTCATAATTAAAAGTAAAAAAGCACAAGTGAAGGGGGTTTAGTCCCTGATGACTAAATAACAATAAATTCAGTTGATTTCTATTTTATTTGAACAATGGTTCTCAAACTTTAGCAAGCATCAGAATAACATGGAGGGCTTGTTAAAACCCAAGATTGCTGGGCCCCCACAGCAAAGTTTCTGATTCAGTAGGTCTAGAGAGGGGCCCTAGAATTTTCATTTCTAACAAATTATCAGTTTAACTGATTGATGAGGTGAGACAATGGAGGTGGTATAGGGTCAGCACCGCTAGCATGAATGGTAGGGAAAAATCACTTAAGTGGCCTTCTGCTACACTAGAAAGAGATCTGAAGCTGTTGGACAGGGACCACACTTCTACGAAATCACTGTTCCAGAACTCTGATTTACTAAAGCTAAAACGGGTGGAGGTGGGAGGGATAAAAAGCAGAAACCAAGTTCAAGTGAAACTAATACCAGTTTTAACTATATTAAACTAGCTTGAAAATACACTACAACTTTTCAGTTAATTTATCCAATCTAAATTGTCAATAACCAGTCAAAACCTAAAAAGCCTGAGTCTAAAATTCCAAAAAATGTGTTCAAAATACACACACAGTCTGTTTCACTCCTAAGGTACCATGGGCCCACAATATGGATTAGGGCCTTACAAGGAAGTACCACTTAAATTCTTTCCCCCACCACTACATACTAGCAATGCTAACCCTATACCATCTCCAAGTGTTGTGTCACCTCATCAATTAACTGAAAAACTACAACTACCAGAAAATTTATTTGCATTTTAAAGAGTAATAACTGAACAAGTAAAAAGTATTTCTAAAAACATAAATCAGACAAAACTACACCATTATTTTAGAGCCACTACGCCACCACTACACACTATAGCCACTATACTACCGTGTTTCCCCAAAAATAAGACCTAACTGGAAAATAAGCCCTAGCATGATTTTTCAGGATGCTCGTAATATAAGCCCTATCCCAAACATAACCCCCAGTTAAGATCGTCAGCCAGACATGACTGTTTGAATAAATGTAGATTTTATACATGAATAAATGAATGAATGTAGACTGTTTGAGCAAAAATTAATATAAGACCCGGTCTTATTTTTGGGGAAACATGGTATTACTTATATTCAGATCAGGTATACACTATGAGTTTCCTAAGTAGAAAAAAATAACATAATAGCTCAGAAATATTTAAAGCTTTTAAATTTATCTGTTAATCAAGCTCAGATTAAACAGTAAAGTTACCTATAAAGTCAAATTTTGTAAACTAAACTCTAATTCCCAACTGACAATTTTTCCACACTTACACAAAAATTTAGGATGATCAGTTTGGAGGAGCACATTCCAAAGGAACAAGACGACAGCAGCTCTTCTCACTTCCCCATTTCATAGTATCATAGGTTTGTTTTTTGTTTTTTAAGAAAAGCAATGGTCTGTGCTGTCCAAATATAGTAACCACTAGCCACACGTGGCTACTTAAATTTAGAATAAATAAAATTTAAAATTCAACTCTTTAGCCGCAATAGCCACATTCCAAATACTCAACAGTCACATATGGCTACTAGCACTACTGGACAGCACAGATACATAGCACTTCCATCATTGCAGGAAGTTCTGTTGCACAGCACTAATACACTAGAGAAAGGATTCTTAGTAGCTTTCAAGATAGGAAGGAAAGGGGCTGGCCGAGTAGCGCGTTGGTTAAGAGTTGGCTTGAGACGCCAGCAGCAGGACCAGGGTTCGGATCCCACATTAGGGCCAGTGACACTGCGCCCTCTACAGCTAAGATGGTGAACAACAGTTCGACCTGGAGCTGGGCTGCCATGAGTCGCGTGCGACTGTGTAGTGCAGCCTACGCCTTTGTCAGCTGCCATGCCGTCCAATGGCCGGAGAGCGACAGCCTCACCTGGGAAGAGC